CACTCAACATCAGACTGTGCCCTCCTCCAGAATGATTTGGATAGAATCAACAAATGGGCAGATATAAATCACCTCCCCCTGAATCCTGCCAAGTGTCACCTACTGTCATTGCGCAGCAATCTTGCCAACACGTACCTCTTGGGGCAGTACGCTTTACGGCGCGTGACCACAGAAAAAGACTTAGGTATCATTGTGCAAGAAAGTCTGGGGAATTCGCTCCAATGTTCCAAAGCAGCGAACGTGGCGAACATGAACCTGAGACTTTTGAGGCGAGCTTTTGGTGTTTTTGAACGACGGTTGGTACCCATGCTTGTCAACTCCTATATCCGTCCCCACGTCGAATATGCCGTCCAGGCTTGGTGCCCATGGTTAAAACGAGACATTCATCTCTTAGAGCAGCCCCAACGAAGAGCTACCAAGGCAACACGCGGATTATCTGGTCTCAATTATGAAGTGCGTCTCAGTTTAATCGGAATGTTTTCCTCCGAATACCGACGACTACGTGGAGATCTCATTCTCGCATACCGGATATTAACGGAAAGCGATCACCCGTGCAAATCGCTGCTCACCCTAGCCTCATATAAGCGATCGAGAGGTCATAACCTCAAGCTGATAATCCAACACTCCCGATTAGACTGCAGAAAATATTTTTACTCTCTTAGAATCTGTTCACAATGGAATGACTTGCCAACGCATGTGGTAAACGCTCCGAACATTACAGCCTTCAAACAATTGTTAGACATTCATCTGAGTGACAAACAACACATTGTGGTGTGATGTACCAGGTTTAGACTATTGGCATTTCAGTTCCATGTCGGAATCTAATGATTTTTATCTATTTGCATTTACCATCCTATGGGTCTTGTAAAGCCAATGCTTTTTATCCCATCATACACTATTGAACTATTGAGACTTCTGTTCAGTTGGAAGTAGACCTCGGTCATTCTGATCACAAAGACCTTATCCGAAACACCTCCACACTGGAGCACTGTTTTAACTAACCACTCACCTACCGTATCGTGACCAGCGGCTTCCACTGAAACTGAGCTACGGTGTAGACACTGATGCACCTGAAGGACTCGAAGAGTAACACTTTCCGGCACGAGTAAGCGTAAACAGCCTGTGGTTAAGGATACGTTGATCGCGGAGGACAGCTTCCCGGAATACGCACAAAACGGGACATCAAACCAAGAGAGCGCAGTGATGGCAATCGAGGCAAGCAGAACTTATTCACACAGCCATAGAGAGTATCATCCTGCACAGTAACACTTCCACATCACCAATAAATGTCACAATATTATCCTTTTTATCCACAATTAGTAAACATCAAATCCGCCTTGCAAAACATACCTCGAACACCCAAAATACACGCGAAGGTTTAAAAATTCCAAATTAACACCGAGCCAGGGGCCGTATATATCGGCCATGTAAAAGAGGGTAGAACCATCAGCTACTTCCAGAACAGTGGTTGCCCACAACATACCCGACGGAATTCCTGGATAAAAGCCATAGATACATGCAAAATACGATGTACGCTCTGCGATTTACTGATTTCCGGTAACCGACCTCCACCATGGCCGTCCAAATACGTGTGCTTAATTAAACTGATTCCGTCCGGTGCCGAAGACGAAGAATCACTAGACAAACAGTGCAACAACATGTGAAACATCACTACATATCCGAAGTTCAGCTTCACACGAGATAATGGCAAACGCCGTCTACATATGAGTGGTCTCAATGCCGCTCTATCAAATCAGCCTGTTACTCTACTTCTTCCTCTTAACAGATAAACATGCATCCAGTCACTGGCCATATACCCAGCCTACTGCTTTTATCTAACGGACGTTCGTTTCCCAGCTGTCACGAATGCTAATTCCACGAGACCAGCTGGGTGAAATCTAATACTTCATTTGCAACGAAATAGTGGCGGTGCGTACTTGCAGCATGAAGGGGAAAGCAACAGAGCTGACAGTCTAGCATTTCATTTGAGAGACAATTGTAAGGATGCAATCAAGCACCTATCAAATGCTTTATTAACGCTGAAGTTGGTGAATATATCATTCAGTCCTAGATCTGTCCTGTCCGTCCCGATCAAATTTAATCGGTGTGATTCTTATAGGTATCAAATGATTGGATTATGGTTATCTACCATAATATGATCCGTCCCTTTGTGGGCTCAGGTTCTCTGTACGACGAGAAATATACCTTACTAAGTGCTACATAAAACGCAGATATGCCTGCTGAACCGCCACCAAGGCGATATTTAACGGATTCAATCAAAATGTTGTTAAGCACATGGTACAGGGTGAGCTGCTGCTTTCACAGGCGTAATGCTACAAGAGGTCCTTGTCTGTTCGAGATAGCCTGAAACGGTATTACAATGAGATGACCAATGGTTCTGTTGCAAAGAACAATCTGGAGTATCCACTCCACATATTTCACTCCGGTCCACCGCGCTTTGTGTGCCCATCGTCTCAGATAGTTACTTGGTGTTCGTTCTCAGATGCTCTTTTAAGACTGTCTTTGCCTTAACTGTAGTGGGCTTGAACGTGTTCCTCAATCTGGACGCCCCGTCTGACTTCTGTGTTAGTCCTGTGTCTCGGGCACGCCGAGTCCTACTTTTCCATTTGTCTTGTCTTTCGTGTTGGTATATGCTGACTCGAAATTGTCTACACCCACTCTGTATGGGTCGGACCACTTTCGGACCAACATTTTCGTACCCTTGGGCTTGCTTTAATCTTATCATTACCGCTTTCCCTGACCTGTTGGACCAAGGTGCGTGATGCACTGAAATGCACAAGGTATTGGCACCGCGTCGGTGAAGCCGGCCGCGATAGGCTGTCCCCGTGATCTTACTTCACATAGTCCAATAGTAGTGTGCGCGGACACTGTGCGCATAACATCCGCTTAGACGAGAACTTTTCACAGAGGCCTTAACTGCGGCTCACTCCCGAGTAGATTTATCGCCGCCAGGCCCAACTGTACAATTTAATTTGACTTATTTATGGGCTCATCACGACCAGTTCAACATCAGATAGTCGTCCATATGCTCGGAGAAACGCTAGGCTGCATTTTCAGCCTGTTGGGTATCATCGGTAGTGCCCAACTATCGGATCCATCAGGATTCGAACTCACGACCACCAACGGCTTACACCGCCAGTCAACAGGTTATGCCACCGGGCTACGGAGGACAGCTTCGGACCGTCATAATTTGCAAGCTAACTGCGATATAGCGTGTCTTATCCTCCAATGCCATGCATGTTACGAACGTTTCAGAGAACGGGACGTAACTCCGACCTATTTTGCGTGGGATCAGAAGAGATGATTTCCTTAAGAAGGAATTTTACAGTGTATGCCTTTGACTGAGATGTGTAGTGGTTAGTACTTAGGGTAATGTTCTTAACTCGCAAAGTTCGACTCGAGTGACATCGGTGTATTGTTCCCTTTTGTTTCTCCATTCATAACATTTTGCAGTTTTAATGAGATCATTTCGCTTCACTCGCAGTTGCTACTGGAAAGCTTGACTTGACTGGACCTCTTGACTACAGTGAAAACTCCGTAGGTTGATCACTCACGGGACTAAACCAAAGTGGTCAACTTCAGGCGTTCTTCCTGTAGCATTGAGATCTTGTGCTCCTGCTACGAGTTACAGGAGCATCGAAATGCGCTTGAATCCCTGGTATGTCTGCTATCTGTGGGATTTACAAAGTTTCATCAACACAGACATTAGCCACCCTCGACAATGTGTGGTCAGCTACTTTTGTGAATTATCCTGATGTTCATTTGAACAAAATCAGCGGCAGGTTTTCTAAAGCTCGTTTCCATCTCCGCTGTTTTACCTCCCAGGGTTGACGTATTGTGTGGTCATGTAGTTTGATGCTTACACACCTACGCTTATGTGACGCAATTGGAATACGGTGGGAACTGACAAAAATTGCGTCTGAATCGGTGTTGCGTCAGGCTCGTTTCGGGTTAAAGAGGTTGAGGAGCGTGGGGGTGACAGCGAAATCCACCAATCCCGGTTAAGTGGTGCCTAGGTATAAGTGACAACGGCCACTTCCATGCCTCCTATACTTCGTATCGCCAAGTGCAACCGCACGGAAACTGAATGACGCACGAGAAAATGTGTCATGTTCCTCCGTTACGCCACTACCTACCCCGACATCGTACAGTTGGTGTCGTCCCCATCATTTTTAACCAATAGAGCAAGGACAGTTAGAAGGAAGGATTAGAAATTGTGCAGTGCTTCTCCCGCCTCTACAGGTG